TTGAGATATTTTAATTTAAAATTTTAAAAAAACTCACTAAAAACAAGATGCTTGGTTTCTACTGGCACCCCCCCCATATGCTCAAGCATTGTTTGATCCAAATACTATTTACTCTTCTTTACTATTTGGTAACAATAGCGTTGATTTTGATTTTTTTGATTTTTTTGATTTGTTACGTATATATAATAGTTTAATTTTATCTAATATTTAAAAAGATAACGATTCAAAAGTGAATGAATTAAATTCTGCCATGATGGATCTTTTAGATTATACCTGAAGAAAGATTAGGCAGCATATCTGGTGGTTATTCTCAATCATTAACATGGTCACCAGAACTCACCTCTTGTCTAGAAGGTTAGATAATCTTACATTAAATGAAATGAATTACAAGATATTAGATTATTTATTTCTGACTTTCTCTATAGTGGAAATTCTTCAACAAATACTTTAGAAGAATATACAATAAAGAATACACAACTTAAAGGTAGGTAACCTATTAATATCAATCTGTGAATTTCATTTATTGATATATTTTGACCTATTTATATAGCAGACTGCAGAAGAGAGTAATATATTAAACAATAGCATTTTACATAATAGGCTAATCAAACTAGTAAAGAAATGCTGTGCTCATCTGACATAACAAAATAGGCTTCATCTAAAAGTTCAACTGGTAATTATGAATTTAATTTTTACAAATTGCTCAATTGATAAATTTTCATTCGATGAAATTATCTTTATTTCCAAAGTTGCAACATGCAGTAATTTCCAAAATATCAAAGAGCTAGAAGAGAAACTTCAACTCGTGAAAACTAAAAATAAGAAACAGGTATTATTCGGAAATCAAATTTTCTATGTTTAGTGATTATAATGAATCATATATATTTATTTTTTTATTTTTTTTTTTAGAAAGTTCTTATAGCAAAAGATGAGGACCGCTTGGAAAAGATAAATGAATCTGTAATAGGAAAATGTGTAGATAAAATGAGTGATTAATTAGCACTTTCTGGTAGTGTTGAACTATGAACTTTATGACCTATATGATTTATATTTGGACATTTGTAAAGGTTTATGACTTTATGATTTGATAATATAATTAGATATTTTAAATTAGTTATAAATAATTTGTATCAAAATGTTAGGACAATTCAATTAAAAATACATATTATTATAAACTAAAAGTATCATAAATTAAATTATTTATTAAAATTTTTTTATTATTTTAGATGTTTATTTTTTTTTAAAATTAAATTATTTGAATATTGCAGTGTTTTTGGTTGTAATATATGTAATATAAATT